ATCTCTTCCCACACTGCTGTCTCAGTCCACAGATGTGCCCTGGTGGGCACGAAGTCTAGACATTCCACTGACATTAGCGTCAGTCAGGCACTTCCTGAAACAGGACCTAGCCGGGTTAGGAAGTGATGGCATCGCTTGTAAGTGTGTGTGTATGTGTGTGTGTATGTGTGTGTGTGTGTGTGTGGTGTGTGTGTGAGTGTCGGTGCAGAAAAATATGATAGCCACGTGTAGAGGGCCATGTGAGCCTGAAGCTTACCTGGATAGGTCACTTGAGGCCCACTGTGACATGCCTTGCCTGCAGGGGACTGCTTCAACTGGTGTGATAACAGATGGAAAGCTAGGGTATACTTTCTTGCTGAACCCTTACTAGACGCAACCTCTCTAGACCCGGGATTTTGTTCTTCTGGACATTCTTACCTACTCTTTCAATTTCCTTGCTTTTGATTCGCTTGATCAGATTTTCTCTCTCTTGCTCATTAAAGTATGGGAGATTACATGATTCTAAGAATCTGTTCTTTAGTTCTATTTTATAAAACTTTACAGCATACTTTGTTCATAGAGACCTTTATGATATTTTTTAATTTCTGGAGGAACTATTGCAGTTTCTCCTCCTTTGTCCCTGATACACTTTATTTAAAATGTATCTTCCTCTGTTCTTCACTAGTGTAGCCCAAGGATATTTGCCGAATACACATCTGACAAGGGGTTGATATCAAGGATCAACAAAATACTGCTTGAACTCCACAAGAAGAAAACATCCAACCCCATCAAAAAATGGGGCAACGAAATGAACAGAAACTTTCTCAAAGAAGAAATCCGAATGGCAAAAAAGCACATGAGAAAATTCTCTACATCATTAATCATCAGGGAGATGCAGATCAAAACCACAATGAGATATCATCTCACACCTCAGAGACTGGCCCACATTCAAAAGAACAAAAGCAACCAATGCTGGTGCGGATGTGGCGAGAAAGGGACACTCCTTCACTGTTGGTGGGAATGTGGACTGGTTCAGCCCTTCTGGAAAACAGTACGGACGATTCTCAAAAAATTAGAAATTGAGCTCCCATTTGACCCAGCAATACCACTCCTGGGATTATATCCAAGAGAGGCAAAAATGTGTAGTCAAAGTGACATCTGCACTTGTTTGTTCATTGCAGCACTCTTTACAATAGCCAGAAACTGGAAGAAACCTGAATGCCCAAGAACAGATGACTGGTTAAAGAAACTTTGGTACATCTACACAATGGAGTACTATGTAGCTGTTAGAAAAGATGAAGTCATGAGTTTTACATATAAGTGGTACAACATGGAAAGTATCATGCTAAGCAAAATGAGTCAGAAAGAGAGGGATAGACATAGAAACATTGCATTCATCTGGGGGATATAAAGTAACAAAATCTGAGATTAATACCCAAGAACAGCTGACATCAGCACCAGGCAGATTACTTCATATCTTAGAGGCCAGCCGGGCATTCTAGGGGAAAGGGCAGCTCAGATAGAGAAGGGAGCACCAAATAAAGGGTGTTTGGAGTATCCTCCCAGGAGGGGAGATGCAGGTAGAAAGTAGACTATGGACTGAACATGTTTGCCACTCAATGCCTCTTTTGCAGACCACAACACCCCAAAGGAGAGAGAGAACACAAGGGATTGCCCTGCCACAGAGGCAGGGTGGGATGGGGGGGATTGGGGTGGGAGGGATATTATCCATGGTAGTGGAAAATGGGCACTGGTGGAGGGATGGGTATTTGATCATTGTATAATCGAAACCCAAGCACAAAAAATTGTAAATCTACAATGTACCTCATGGTGTTTCACTAATAATAATAATAATAATAATAATAATAATAATAATAAAAAGAATTATTTCAAAAATAGTTGCAATACTCATTGAAGCCACTAGAGGCTGCACTGCTTTTCTTTTTTAATTTTCACAGAACACCAAAAGGGTGAAGATTCAGAGTATTTTCAAAATCATCTGTAATGTGTAAAACATTAACTGTGCATAAAATTCCAGAGATTCAAAAATAAAAAAAGACACCCTGGCATCGAAAGAGGACAAGCAAAGAACCTTAATTATAAGGTAAAAGGGAGGTCATAAAACAAAATCTGCCATGACCGAAAAGAAGTAATTGAATAAGGACCCTGATTGGGTTTCGAAAAACTAACCTGGCCTGAGGACTGTGGTCTAGTATAGATAGCGAGATATCCCCAGGAAGAGCCTAACTTTAATCTTAGTATATCTCTTATCTGTTTACAGAAAACGATCATAAACAGTGTAAGAAGTAAATTTACTATGATTGTGTAAATGGATTACTAGCTGAGGAAAAGAGAGAACCATACACCCTGGATGGAATCCTGCCCTTGAGCGGATCACCTAGTCATCTGGGTGCTGAAACTCCAGATGAGGTTTTTTTCCTTGAGTTAATGTCTGGGAGGAATGATTTTACATCTCTTTGTTGTTAACATAAAGTTTAACCCCACCTTTGCGTCTGCCCACACTTCATGATTTCTGTATATCTATGCTGTAAGGGGTAAGTGGGAACTAGAAAGTGAATGACTAAGAGGATGGGAACTAAGATTTGGGAACTTTGGGACTTTGGAACTTTGGGAACTAGAAGGCATTCTAGAGGAGGATGAAGACTGGAAGTAGAGGACTATGAGATGAGGAAGAAAATGCAAAGGGTTAGAGGACTTTGAGGTTGGGAGGAGACAAGGATGATGGAACTATGATAGCCAGGACTAGGACCAAAACTTTGACAACAATTGTGCCTGAGGGAGAGAGATCAAACACAATGGGGAGGAAAGAGAAAGAAATTGTCTGCCAACTAGCCAGAGGCCCGGCCCAATTCCTCCATTCCCGGGGCACTTAGTCATCAGCCACTGTGGACCAGCCTGTGGAAACAGTACTCACTCGCCAAAATCGTTCACATGCCCACACGTTTTTCTATGAAATTAACAGTTTCTAGCCTAATATTTATGTTTTCTAATAAAAATTGGGAAATGTAAGGTGCCAGAGAAATAGTCTAATGGCCTGAGCTCGGGTTTTGCATGCTGCAAGTTTGAATTTGATTCCAAGCATTCAATGGTCCGCTGAAACATTCAAGTGTGACCCCCCAGTGTTGAACATGGGTCCATTATGATCAAGAACCAGTAACACTTCCAAACAGTTTCTAGGAAGGAAATAGAAGCCTGATAACAAAGCAGACCGAGATAGCACAAAGATCGAGAATTAAAGGCGATATCCCTGATGAAGAGTCACAAAAACCTCCACAAAATCCTGTCACTGTCACTGTTTTTTTTTAAGAAAAAAAATCCTGTCACTTTCACTGTCACTTTTTTTAACAAAAAAAATATCCTGAATGATCGGTTTGAGGCTCTTCGTGTTCTTAGAACGAGCAGATGCCTTTGGGCTACACTAGCACGTGAACTGTCACATGCTGTGCTAGTGTTACTGGATTCCATGGGAAGTCAAAAAATCGCATCGCTGCCCACCTGTTGAGATGGTCAGACTTCTTGGTCAAGACCCTGAACGACCTTTTTGAGGCTCTTTGTGTTCCTAGAACGAGCAGACGCCACTGGGCAACACTAGCACAGCACGTTACAGGGGCGAACAGAATAGTTACTGCCAGCCACTCCAGTAAACAATGAGTAACAGGATGTCAAGTTATCAAGTGATTTCTATATTGAGTTACTCTCAACGTTCATTGTAGTACAGAGTTTCACGAACCAATAGAAATTATATCAGAGACCTCTTGTAAGGTTGGATAGACTGCTTTAGACTTTTAGGATTATCATCCTTGCATTTCAAATAGTACTTACACATACAATACGCCTCTTTTTTTTTTTCAGAGAAGGTGAACTTGAAAAATACCTCCTGGGCCTTACCTTACTTTACCTCGCACATAGAAAAACCCTTTTTCTATATAAATTGATATGGTAAAGGTAAGGTAAAGGCCCTCCCATTGTTCATCAATTTGCTCGAGCGGGCCCAGTAACGTCTCCATTGGAGATTTTGTTGTTATTGTGTTTGGCATATCGAATACATCATGGGTGGCTTGCCAGGCTCTGTCGTGTGGGTGAGATACTCTCGGTAGCTTGCCGGGCTCTCCAAGAGGGGCGGAGGAATCGAACTCGGGTCGGCCATGTTGGCTGCATGCAAGGTAAACGCCCTACCGCTGTGCTATGATCACTTGGATTTTAGCTTTTATTTTATCGATAGTAGGTATTGTGTTTACTGACTTGCAAAGGGCAAATCGTCCTTGCATCCGGGGATGAATCCTACTTGGTCATGGTGCGTCATTTTTTCTACATGAGTTGTTGTATTCCATTTGCTAGTATTTTATTGAGGATCATGCATCAGTGTTCATCAGGAATATAGGTCTGTACCTTTCTTTTTTGAGGTGCTCCTGTCTGCTTTGGGTGTCAGGGAATGTTTGCCATATGGAAACTCTTTGGGAGTGTTTCTATTTCTTCACTTTTCAGGAAATGCTTGAAAAGAATTGGAAGCAGTAGAGGCCAGCTGGGCATTCTAGGGGAAAGGGCAGCTCAGATAGAGAAGGGAGCACCAAATAAAGGGTATTTGGAGGATTCTCCCAGGATGGGAGATGCATGTTGAAAGTAGACTATGGACCGAACATGATTGCTACTCAGTGTCTCTTTTGCAGACCACAACACCCAAAAGGAGAGAGAGGACAAAAAAGAATGCCCTGCCACAGAGGCAGGGTGGGATGGGAGGATGGGGGTGGGAGGGATACTGGGATTCATGGTGGTGGAAAATGGGCACTGGCGGAGGGATGGGTATTTGATCATTATATAATCGAAACCCAAGCACAAATATTTCTAAGTGTACAACTATACCTAATGGTATTTCACTAAGAAAAATTTAAAAATAAGAAAGAAAAAGAATTGGAAGCAGGTCCTCTTTTTAAGGTTGGAAAGGATTCACTAACAAATCCATCTAAGCCTGGGCTTTGATTTTGCTGAACATCTTTGATTACCATTTCAATTTTTGCCATAGTGAGAGGTTTATTCCGGTATTTCACAACTTCTGGGTTCAGCCATAGGAGATTATAGGCATCCAGGAATTTATCCATTTATCCATTTCTTCAAGGCATAATGCTTTTCAAAGTAACCTCTGATGAACCTGTGGATTTCTGTAGTTTCTGATGTAATGTCCCCCTTTTCATTTCTGATTTAATTTATTAGATTTCTCTCTCTCTCTCTCTCTCCCTTTGTACTCTTTCTCTGTCTCTCTCTTCCTATCTCTCTCTCTTAAAAAAACTCAGTCCTTTCTCTCTCTCTCTTAAAAACTTAGTCTCTCTAAGCCGACTGAGTTTTTAAGAGTCTTTCATTTTGGACTCCAAGCTAAGAGGATCCAAAGTTGAACAGTTTGTTTTTGTCAAGTCTGAAGTTTTTGTACAAGATATAGATTATTATAAGATATTATATTAATGAACAAAAGTCATGGGAATAATCAAAGGATTGTAGAACTAAAAAATGGAGAATGCTGTCCAAGTCAAAACTATAAGTTCTACAGATGGTAGGACATACAAAATAAACTAGTTCTACAATACAATCACTGTCACTGTCATTGTCCTCCTGTTGTTCATCTCTTTGCTCAAGCAGACCCTGGAAAGTCTCCATCTTAGACTTGTTGTTAATTGTGTTTGGCATATGGAGTACATCAATAGGTTGCCAGACATTGCCGTGAGGCAAGATACTCTCGGTAGCCTGCTGGACTCCCCAGAGTGGATGAATAATTAAACCCGATTCCTTGGGTCCTTCCGCCTTGCATAAGAGTAATGCCCTACCGTTGTGTTATCATTACAATATAAAAATTCTACAAATGTTTTGGACTCCAAGCTAAGAGGATCCAAAGTCTGCAACAGCCTGCAGAGTCTTCTACACCACAGGAGCTTCAAAAGTTTCACAGTATTGTTATCAGTTATACTGCTGCTCTGTTCACTATTTCCATTAGGTGTTGTTGGGGACATGTGATTCAGAATATGTTTGCTAAGCACAATTCTATTAAGAAAAGTTTTAGATAGATTTGTAAAAAGTGCAAGGGCTAAGAAAAGTTAGAGGGAATAAGGCACTGGCCATGCTGGCAGCTGACCTGAGTTACATTCCTGGGCCCCCAAGGAGACCCCTGAGCCCAGTCAGGAGGGGTTCCTGAGTGCAGAGCCAGCAGCTAGCCCTGAGCACAGTCCTGTATGCTGTTCCCCTGCCCACACCCCTCTCCTCAAAGGAAGAAAATAATGATTTGCAAGAAAATTGTCCTAAGGGTTATTTTTGTTAAAAATTCTGATTCAACGAGTATTGAGAAAGTGTGCTGTTACTGTAATATGAAATTTTTGCTAAGAGTATCTCTGTCAATGAATACTATAGCTAAGGGCATCTTGGCTATGACAGTTGTGTCCAGAATCATGATTTCTAAGGATCATTTTTGTTCAGTGACTCGTTGCTAAAAGCTCGAGTACTGAGTGGATTACTAGCTAAAGATTAGTGTGATAAAGATATATAGTTAATGAATGTATTTAAATTGTTCCATTTGTTTATGTCATTTTCGTTAAGGTTTTTATGAAAGACGAGATTATTAAGAGGGCACTATCAGTGACTTTTCTCTAAGATCAATGTTAAGTGTATCTCTGAAAAACATTGTTGATAAAGATATTGATCACTTGATCACTTAACTTCCCGTTAATCATCAATTTGCTCAAGCGGGCGCCAGTAATGTCTCCATATGTCCCTGTTGCATGCTAGTATAGCTCAATGGCGTCTGTTCGCTCTAGGAACACGAAGAGCCTCAAGCCGATCGTTCATGATCTTGATGAAGAAGTCTGACCATCTGTTGGGTGGGTGGCCACGCGGTCTTTGATCATCGACAGAGGTTGGAACTTCAGATTCTTTCTCTCATTTGAGTGAAACGTGATATTCCAAGCATAGCTCTTTCAATTCCTCTTTGGGAGACCGGATGTGTTCTCATCCTGTTTGCCTAAGACCCAGGTCTCTGAGGCATATGTTAATGCAGGAAGAACAGTGGAATCAAAGAGAAGTGCCTGGAGCCAGAGGTTCTTCGTCCTCTTAGCTATTTCTTCAATGCTCTTGAAGGCGATCCAAGCCTCTCTCTTCCTCCTGTGCAGCTCGGGTGTCAGGTCATTTGTGATGTTGACTTCTCGACCTAGGTACACATAGCTGTTGCATTCGGAGATGGTCCTTCTATTGAGAGTGAGTGGGGCGTCAGGAAAGAGGCTGTTTCTCATAAACATTGTCTTCATAAGATTCAGCTGTAGCACATTAACTGCATTCACTTGTATCTGCCACAGGCCACATCCATAACACATGTGCCAAAAAAATCAATATCAATGATCTATTTCTAACTGGATGGACTTCAAAAAATATCAGTAAGAGAAAATCCTGAGTTCAATCAAGGAAACCTTGGTGTTGAAGAATGAGGAGACTGATCAAATATTGTAAGTGAACAACAAGATGGGACAGCACAGTGCTATTATTCACTTTGTCTGAAACACAAATTAGGTCTGAGGAAATTAATTGTGACAGTACAAGTTTTCAATAAGATGTTTTAACTATCTTGAGTTACACCACATGCAAAAGTGCTTGTTTGACTTTCTGGAGTCTCTTTATCAATGCATAAACAGATGAACTAGATTGAACTGAGAATTATCAAAGATATGAAAGGTATGTGTTTTCTTTGGCTTTTTGACCACACCCAGTGGTGCTCAAAGTTTATTCCTGTTTGGCACTTGGGGATCATGCCTGATGGAGCTTGGAGGACCATACGTGATGCTGGGGTACCATATGTGATGCCTATGAGAAGGATGACTGCAGGCTTCTAACAGAGTCTGCTGGAAGTTTGCTGACTGAACTAGGTTTCTGAGATTTCAGAGGGTGAGCACTGGCTGTCATCCAGGACACATCTCTGTCTATGTGACAAAGCCCTGGTGTTTCACTGACAAGTCCTAGACAGAGTTCACTCGCCCAATTCCACAAAACTGGATCATTATACTACAGTTTTTTGGGGGGGTTCTATGCCTGTTAAAGAACAGCTCCTTGAAGATGAGATGTTTTGTTCACGGGCATTTATGAGCAAATGTGCTAGTGACTACAAGTGGGAGAGCATGGTGTCCAACAGGACTCCTGAGGAGTATGTTCAGCTGGGACCTCTTCCACCCAAGCTCAGGTGCTGTGTACTGAAGGCTCCCCAGGGCGAGGATGAATCGTACTGTCTAATACAGAAGGACACCTCATCCTCATGGGTTTTCTCTAGTCCTTCATGATTTTCAACATGAATTTCTCTTAAGGTGAAGCATATGTGATCATGGTCCACACCTGATGCAGCCCCTGTACTCAGTCACTGTGAATGGCTATAAAGGTCTCCAGGGACATTTTAACCCATTTAACCCACCACACAGGTAGCAAAATAATTTCCTTAAAGAGATTTTTATACACTAGGAAATAAGATATTCAGTGTTAGTTCATGGATCAAGGTCCATGCCTGCATGTGCTGACCTGGATTTAATGGCTAGCACAACATGGAGTCCCGAGGCATGTACTGGGTGCAGCAGAAGGAGCCCCAGCATGGGGTGTACCTATGGAGAGCAGCGTACCATTGTTGGCTCAGATATCTATAGCACACAGGATTTGTTGAAATTTCTGGGCTGTTAAATTATTATTTCAATTTTCAATATTTGATGATAACTAGAAGATATTTCATGTCCACTAAGCACTGCCAGCTGCATCGAGAGTAATTTTCCAAGTGAACATATATCCTTGGAGACAGGAAGAGGATGTAATGCTTTCTTTCCAGTGATTCTTCTTTCTCAGCGGTCCTTTCTGTGACCCACACCCAAATGTTTCAGGAATATGTACAATCCTTAGAACTGTTAGTCAAAGACACTGCTTCCTGTTCTTTATATTTATGAATCCTAACATTTGTTTTTTTGAAGAGATACTATTTTTAAATGAAATCGAACAACATATGATGAATTCATGAAACCATGCTTAGAGCCATTCTCCGTCTTCAACTAAAATGAAGAATTATGACATCTCTCCAAATTTTCCCAGAAAGAAAACATATATGTGCTGTGTGGGACGGGCCCGGAGGCCCAGCTCTTGGCAACCAAGCGAACGGCTCCTATTCCAACCAGGTACAGCCCGCCCCTAAAGGCCTGGGACCTTCTGTGCGCATGCCCAGCTAGCTCCACCTCCTAGAAAGCCGGTTTTACCCCTGGTCTGCGTGGGATGGGCCCGGAGGCCCAGCTCTGGGCAACCAAGCGAACGGCTCCTATTCCAACCAGGTACAGCCCGCCCCCAAGTGCCTGGGACCCTCTCTGCCCATGCACAGCTAGCTCCATTGATGTTCCCAACTCCTCGCTCAGTACCAGGTACTCTTTCCGGAGCCGCGGCCGCATTAGCGGCCGCGAAATATTTTCCCACTTCATATGCCATAGGAACCATAAGCTACCTTCTTCGATGGAAACTTCTCTAGTTTAACTCAGTCACTAGAAACACAGTAGCCAATAACTCATAAACCTATCTTAACTCACACTGCATATCAAGCAGAATAGTAACAGTGAATGTTAAGGACTAAACCACAGCTTTCACAATGGTAAAGCAACGCAAAAGCCCACCAAACTTTCTTATTGAAGAGTCTAGCCCAGATGACACCAACAGTACTGCAGTTTTAGACAACCTCTCTGACAAGGAATTCAGGAGGGAGCTACTTAGGATGCTTAGGGAACTAAAAGAAACAATGGAAAGCAATGCCAATAGAAGACAAGAGGATTTGAAGGCAGAAATGAGGAAAACGCAATCAGAAATGTCAGACCTGAAAAATCTCGTAGGCGAACTGAAAACCTCAGTGGAAGGCCTCAGCAGCAGAGTAACAGATGCTGAGAACAGAATCAGTGAGCTCGAAGATGAAGTTCAGAGACTCTCCAAAAAAGAGCAGAAAATTGAAAAGAGACTCACAATTCGGGAACAGATGGCAAGAGAAGATCGTGATGAAGCCAAGAGGGGTAACATAAGAATTATTGGAGTCCCAGAGGGACAGGAAGAAAACCTTGATGAAGAA